CAAGAACAACACACAAATTTTTCAGGAGTGGTATATCCTTCTCTTTATGTTGGGAACTACATATGCAAAGGCTTTCGAATCCAGGCAAAGGTGTCTGGCAGGGAAGAGGTGAGTAGAGGATATGACTACTAACAGCAAGTAAACAACCAACCTACATCATCAAGATAACAACTTAGACAATAAGCCAAGATGAAGCATATAAAAGGATATAAACGCATATAGTAGAAACTAGTAACTAGACGATAATAGATATAAATCAATTTTCATGAAAAGATAATGTAGATATAAAAGGTTTAACTGGATGATGGTATGGCATTTGGACACCGAGTACAATGATACGATTATTGGCTTTTGATATTTTTATTAAAATTATAATTATGGTGTTTTTAGGTCGGTTTGTAAGGGTCTATATAAGGACCCTCTTGTGCTAATGAGAATTTCAACCTCCAACAATTAACCCAATTCTCTAGAAAGAGACTTGGGTTAAAGGGAAAGTTTTGCTTAAATGATCTCTCTTTTACTTTTAACAAAGACTACGAGTTCAAAGAAGAAACCTTTGGCTTGTATCATACAACTGGTAAATCACAGATGAACGCTGAGAAGAATAATACCTCTAAACAATATCGAACCCAATGACTTGAGACATAGATAGTTTGGGTAGTCCCGGCACTTCGGAACCCACCATGGCATTCAATAGTAAAACGTGCATTATTTATCAAAGGATCATTTACCACCTCTCCCCCTCCTTGATTGACCCATTCCACGATGTCTGGTCGCTGCACAATTTGGTAACACATCAATCAATATACCTCGGAGATGCATTTTCAGACAAGAAACTAGTGCAAGACAAGGAAATCCGATTCTTTGATAACCACATACCCTATCTTCAGGAAAAGAATGCGAGAAACAAAATGTCTCCCCCTTAAATACCGATGACTTTCTTTCTTGCTTGTTCTGACCACTGAATTCACATTGAGTACTCTGTTGTTCTTCGCTTTTACTAGTTACAAGGGAAATAAGTGTTTCTTTTTGCTTGGGTGATACTATTTTTCTTCCTGTATGAATCTCATCTTTCCTGCCAAATTCCTGCATTGCTTCTTTGTTCTTTCCCAGCAAAGTTGCTGTCCCATTTGAGACATTAATACTCCTTGAAGACGAATCATATGCCATGGTCTGACCGCTAGTATGTTTACTCTGTTCCGTACTTGACATCCCTACAAATGATCCCTTGGTCAAGCATGCAGAATCTGCACAAAAACAAGTCAGTTAGAAAGTGTAATACTTGATGCATCTTGGATAGATGACATGTATCCGAGACCGAGATCATTAAAATTAGTTAAATGAGATAACAGCAGACCTCTTGGAAGAATCAAGTGGTTAGCAGTATATATTTTATGAACGGGAATTTCTTTTTTCTCACGATCACAATCTTCAAGCCAGCTGGGTATGACTACTTGAATGACACCAGAGGCTGCAACACTCCTCGCTTCTCTTTTCTCACTGTAAAGGAATATTCTATGTAGAGATCATAATGTTACAGAGAATATGCTTAGAGAGACCCAACTAACAGAATATGATCAATGCTACAAGAGAAAAAAGGAAAAAGCTGATAGAGCAAAAACAATCACTCTGGCAGTGCAAAGATTGTGTTTACCTCTCAGAAGGAGTTCCAACAACAATATGAGTCATTCTTTCGTTAAGCAGCATATACCGGGATCCACCACCTCTGCGGACCAACTTAGCAAGTTTACGCATTTCAGAAGCTTCAAAACCAAGCAAGAAAATTCTACAATCTGATAAGTACAAGTCATTGTCTTCGGATTCTGAATCCCTAGCAGTACAACCATCAATATTTTGCTCTTGCGGCCTTGTAGTTGGGCCTCCACTTGGTTCTTTAACATCGGTACTGGGATTCGTAGAAGTGGAAAAAACATTTTGTGAACCAGAAGCTTCTATATCTGAGTCTCTAGACTGAGCACAAGAAGCATATGAATCTGCCGCAGACGCAGTTGCAACCGAAGGAAACTTTTCTTGACCATTATGGACCCCCAAATCTTGCACCCCTCTTGTCAAGGGTATGGAACTGAGAACAGGATATAACTCTTCATTGAGACACACTGCGCATAACAAGGTGACATATCAGTATTGAATGAATCTGTTAACTTATAGAGAGCCAATATACTGATCAGTAAGAGAATGTATAAAATGCAGAATCACCAAACGTCACCTTTTCTATCGATGGACTGCTGAAACCATTTCCGTGTGACAATTTGAATGTGACCCCATTTTCGAGCAACTTTGTATTTGTCACCTTCAGCAGCGTATGCAATGTCAAGGAATCAATTTTCACTAAAGTCCAAATAACGAAATCTCAAACTTTAGTGCACAGGAACTTGGAATTTTTAAGGCATCTACATATCAACCACGTAATGGTTATAGTCACATAACTTTAGAGAACCCGATTATCAATCCTTGATTACTGCTAATTTATCAGCACAACTGAATGCGCACAGAAAATCAACATATGACCTAGGATTAGCAAATTTTTAAAATTTGTTTCAAAGGATATATCAGCGATCAAATGTGTACAACTCTTTGTTAGCTCAGCAGAGTAGTTCCCTCCATATTCTGAAATTACCTTCTCCATTCCCTTGCGCTCATCTGATAATAAATCACTGATTAACTGTCAACAAAGAACCTAATTCGCATATGTTGAATATACCGGTTTTCTAACCTGCTGGAATTCTTGTGACACAAATTGTCAATCCAGAAAAAGGAGGAATCTTATATGGTTCCTGGGGAACCACACGGTGCTCATTCCAACACCGATGTAACCAATTCAGTGTAACGATTGGCTTCTTATTCAGAGCCCACTGCAAGTTAAAATAAGATATATTTATCAGTCCCAATGAAATAGGCATAACTGATTTTGAACAGCTTCCTCATGAACCTCATCAGTTCACTCTGCTCTAGGATATAATATGTAATGATAAGTCAGTAGAGGCACGAGGCTGACTAAAAATAATTTCAGAAAACAACGGCGTTTTTCACTCTGAGAAGTAAACCTGCATTAGCCTAAGTTTTATTTACATCATCCAGCTACCATCTAAAAATGAACAAAGCAGAACCCGTCAATAGGGGGATGACAACAACCTATATTTTGAGGCCTTCATTAGGGGCTAATTACATATTTCCTTACGCGAAAAGGCCTCTCTTCTTCTAATGTAGGCACTATGTACTGCTGGAAAAATGTAATACTCAAATGCACCGAGCAAAAGATCAACAGCCACTTCTATGATTCTATCTAATTTTAATTTACCAGCATCGACAGAGAAAAATTCATCTTTGTGCAAATTGGGGTAAAGCTAAATGAACTGAAAAACACTTTTAGTTTACCTAACATAATTTGAATAATCTTCTGAGATGCATGATGGAAAACAGCGGTATTGATATGTTATTAAAGCAAAGGTGAAACTGATAAGAAGCCAGTTATATAATCTACAGATGTGAACCTTCAGAAGGTAAAAGAATAATGATCGCAATCTTTGAACAATAGACCTTGTACTTGGCAGCCAAGACATTTTTCACAATGACGAAGTTGACATCAGAAGAAGCTTTGGAAAGTAAAACGCCCCCCATGGAAGTAACCAACTCCTTGATCATGGCCTTCAAAAGAATTGCAATCAATCAGTTAAGAGGGATGAGTCCTTCAGAGTAACTGAGAAACAATTCTGTAAACATAAATCATTTTTTGATCTACATGCTTCTTACACTCTAAAAACACATTTCCACTACATAAAAGAGAGAGGTCAATTTTTTCTTTTAACAGAAAAAAAAAACAAACCATAAACCAAAAATTTCCCAAATTTGTTTAGTTGCGCAATGGAAAACAAAGAGACACAAGTATTCAATACTATGGTATATGCACGATATTAATCTCATAATCGATAGCTGAACCAACAACATACAACCATTCCCATGGACATTACAGTAAAAGGGGACTAAACGAATCCTAATAAACTAAAAAAGATATCTATTACACAGACAAAAAGAAGTACCTTCTCATCTATCAGAAAACCAGAAGCAAGAACTTTCAGACCATCCATAGCTAGGCAACAAGTGAACCCCCCTTGTGGCAGTGGTCTACCCTCTTTCGCACAGGAGAGAGCACATTGCGGACCTGCCACGCAATAAACATAAATCCTATTAAGAAAATTCACAGACACAGATTCAATTGGTTTTATTAAGTGACAAGAAATATAAGATAAATCTTATCTCACCAATTAAGTTACAACCCTTGGCTTTAAGATCCTTAAATTTCTCCTGTAAAACCCCAAAGAGATGGCAATAAGATCAGATTGTTGAAGGAAATAAGCAATTGCAGGTATTTAGAAGAAGGAACATTTCGCACATGATCGGGAGATGCGATGACATGGAAATCGGAGGGACCGCTCCGAGAGGGGTCGCAGCAGAGGAAGATTTCGGCACCGTTAAGCTTGAAAGCATCGAGAAGTGTGTCGAAAACTTCAGGAGGTACCAGATTCCGAGACATAAACACATTTGCCCCTCTGAACAGTTGCGTCGTCTTCATCGCCGCCGGAAAACCTAACTACGCACTTCTCGACTTTGTAAGAGCTTCACGGCTTTATCGGAGAAACTTGAAACTCCAGAATCGTCGGAAGAAGGCGGATATTCGAACCTTGTAGCATAACACGAGATTCGGAGTCAAGCTCTGGATTTGAGGTCAGTGAATCGGCGTGGTAACTGGTAAGAGAACGCGGGAATTTTCAGTGCGCTTTTTTTTCTTTTGTCGACCAGTCCAGTGAGCTTAATTTCACATACACATGTTAATTCCTTTTTTAGGGCTTTTTATTCTATTACTATTATGACTCCCTATTGGGCCGACAACAAATTTAGACCCATTTAAAAATAGGCTACATGTGTTGGTTATTTATTCTTATGTAAAAATATCCAAAGAAAACCGAGCTTCTCTTGCTTTGTTTTTTTTTTTTCCTCAAACCGAGCTTCTCTTTAAATCTTTAATTTGTACAGAGGAGAAAGGACTTCGTCTTCTACGTAAGAAACGGCTAGAGAATCATAACTAGGCGCAAAAATTAGAAGCCAAACTATAGCTACGAAGAACAAAGGCACGGCTAGAGCCAGACTTTGACTAAAAAAACTAAGCTGGAGTACCTAACTTGGCAGCTTCAGGTCTGGAGGAGTCTGTGTTTGTGCCTTGGCCTGTTCATGTACTTGTGCCTGTTTATGTGCCTTGGACTGTGGATGTACCTGTGCCTGTTTATGTGCCTTGGACTGTGGATGTGTCTGCTGCTTCAGGGCCAGAACGAGAGGTTTCTCTGCGGGCAGCTGAGTTTCTTCTACAGCTGGTTCTGTCTTTCTTCTGACTGTCTTTCCTTCTGCTGCAGGGTTGCTTAAGCTCGAGGTTCCCTTTAGTTTCTCATTTTGCTGCTTTGACCTTTCACAGGACGAATCTGCTGCAGCTTCACAGTCCACTAAGGACGTGGTAGTTGCACTTAGGACAACACTCGCTTTAACTCCAACACCTGAAGCCTTGTCGGGATAAGTAGTACCCTCTGATTTTGGCACCAATTGTGTCTCTTTCTTCTTTGCTATCTTCGTTTGATCCTAAAACAAAATACAAGGTGAGGAATGATAAAAATGAGCAAAATGTGCAAGTTCACATCCAAAAGTTAGAAAGTTAGAAACAAAACAAACAGCTATGGCGTAAAAAAAGCTGAGAATTTCTCAAATACCATCTCCTTCCCAAGGTTTCCTTTCAATGCTCTCCGCCTTTCCTTTTCCCGGCAAATGGCACGCCTGATCTCATGATTGTCCACTAACCTATTTGGCCAGAGTTCAGCTAGCTGGAGCAAGAATAAATCCAAAAGAAAATTAATCAGGAAGAATATTTTTGAATGGATCTAGTCTAATTTGAGTAAACAATCTTGAATTTTAGGCAAGGTCTAGTCTAATGTTTTTGAATGGATCTGGAAAGCAAATAGACAACGAATGGCAAAATATAAGGGATGGAGAGGAACTTACATCTGAATAAAGCTTTCTGATCTGTGGACCTGAATGTTCATCCATTCCCTAGTATTACCAAAAACAGAGCAAAAATTATGTTGACACTTACAGTTCTGCATCTAACTAGTTGGAAAACCTTTATGTAAGGTTATGGAAAATCTTAATTACCTCAACAAACACGTCATATAGATCACACAATTTTTCCTCCAGCGCCACATCCATGACAAACTTCTTCACAGGAGGCTTTCCAAGAGAGCCAACATCCTGAAAATCGTCTGATGTTCCAGCTTCTTGACTTGTTTCCTGTGAGACAATTTCTCATTATCAGAGAGAACTCTGAGTTTGGTGCATTCATTGAAAGAAGAGGTTTAATTAAATCTAACAATAAAGACAAGAACAAAAGTATCTACGCAAAATACCAGATACGACATCCTTTTGAAAATCAGATCAATGAAACTAATAGAGTAGAAGGGAGAGAACCTGGGATTCCATAAATGGAACTTGTGTTTTTAACATCTCAATTATTTCATTCTTGATCCGCTGAAACCTAGTATCCTTTTCTCGATTTGCAGTGACGCTCGAATCAATCATGATTTTCAAGTTCCTCTGTAACAATAACCATTACTAAACGGTAAGAGCTTGAACTCCTTCACTAATAAATACATATCTTGTTAGCTCTTTCTGGAATGGAAGAGCTTTCACCTTAAATAAAAAAAAATCTAAATAATTTAATGCCTCAGTAAGAATCACAACTCCATTCCGATAACAAGTCTCGGTATGCAGGAGATAGAGATGAATACCTTAAGTGATCTAATCTGTATTAGATGACCGACAATGCTCATGAGACGATTGATTAACTCTCCTGATATATCTCCTTGGCTCGCATGCTTCAAGAAAAGAAAATTGCTACTCTTCTTCATACCTCTGAAAGATTATTAAAGTATATATATATATATATATACATATTTACAAACAGAAGAGTTTGATTACCGCGATTCTAGCAACTTTAGCAAGATTCAATTTTACATCTCCTGGCAATCCCCTCTTCACTGCTTGGGAAGAGATATCGGCATCTTGATTCTCAGTTACAGCAGGAGGCCTTGCTGCAATAAATTGGATATTATAGTTTACTTATTGGTATTTAGCTTCTCATGCATGTAGAGAAAACCGACAGTTGAAACTCACATTCAGCGACCACCTTCTCCAATTCCCTGATGGCTTTCTCAAGTGTCGAGGATTTAGGCCTGCCATTCGAATCGCCTTTTTTCTGAATAGAGAAAGGTAAAGAGCAGTCTAATGTAAATACCATGGGGATATGCTAGAATAAACCATGAAAGCAAATATTAGCCAGAAAGATCAACCCAGAGTCGAGATGAAAACTAAAGTACAGAACAACGTTGAATGGGTGTCAGCCGCATAGCATGACACATAGATGCCATCCAATACGTGAACTCTCCTAATTAAATGCTACTATCTTCACAATTACAGATTATTTCTACAGTCTCAAAGATTAGAAAAGCATCACTCTTGGAGATGTAGAAGATGAAAGAGCCCCAAATACATGCTTACTTCAAATTCCACACTAACTAAAATGAGGAATCTTATAAACTTTAGATAGCTGGAAAGTACTTACAGATATTTGAACAGATTTTTTGCTTTCCGTTGCAATGTCCAGGTCAGGTATGCCATTGTTAACTTGCTGACGAACTACTGCTGATTTTGCCGAATCATTTGGCCGAGATATTCCGGGAAGGGAATTAGATTGTTCATTTTTGCTTGTGCACTTCAGATGAAGGGGGAAAGACGATCCAGCTGCCTTTGATTTCGGACTCGTGGCATTCATTGGCTGATGATTCGCTTTATCAGTATGCTTCACATTTTCCAAAACTAAGGAATCATTGCCATTTTGAGCTTTCAAAGGGGAAAACGAATCTTGCACTGTCTTTGAATCATTGGAAATTTTCTTCGAAGAGGGCCCAGGAGCAGCTGATTGATCCTGGACTTTCACATTCAAATAATCAATTGTCTGGAATGGAACTCTAAAATAGATTCAAAAAGTTATTTGCAAGTAATGTACCTTTCCCCCAGCCGTCTTAGCCATTTTGGCTTGTTTTCTGGATACATCAACAACGTCGCCACAAGGTTTTGCTGACTCCTTCCTTCGCCTCTTCTTTGGTTGCTGCTGGTTTGATGTAGCTGAAGGTTCACTGTTGTAGAAAGGGATCACAATTCAGATAAACTGGTAAAAAAGTGGTAAATGGAAGATAACCTATTCATAGGGAAACAGAGAAACCTGAATCCTATTTATAATCAGAGACCACAACGATACAAAACAGTCATTGCATTTTGACAATAACCTAGATATGTTAGCAGAGAAGTAGCAAGATTATCAAGAAAACTGTATCAAATATGCAATGTTTTTGCATAAACCTAATTAGAGGGAAAAGAATGGTGATACCAAATATATTTTCAAATACTTATGCTGCCCATAGCCTATTCTCCACAACATATCACCAAATGAAAACTGACAAACCTGCCATAGAGTAATGTGACAACATACAACAAAAAGAGGACAAAAAACTTACATTCGTTCTAACTTTCCTCTATTGACAAAAAATCCATCATGTTTTATTGGCGAATTATCAACTTCAAAATACTCATCCTGCAATGGAAAAAAAAGAAAGAAGGATGTCTCAGCTATCAAGATACACTTTGATCACATAAGAAAGCCATATGGAGGACATCTATACTAACCAATTCAGCATCATCGATAAATGAATCTTCAGTGTCATAGTCGTCATCGTCAGGAGCCCCATCTAACTCTTCCCCATCACTACCGTCTTTACCCTGAAATTTATTTTATGAAGTATACGCTAATCAGAAATATGTTGAAGAAGCAGTGCTAATGCATGGTATGAAAAATGTTACGAGTAAGAAATCAAACATTCATCTTACTTGTTCAGATAATCAATAGAAACAATGGTAAGAAAAATAGGGAAACGTACCATATAAAGTCTCTCAATCTTTGCTATAACGGAGTTAAGACGATTAGGATGAGGTTGATTCACCATTTCATTTTCTGTTTGTGCCCCCTGCATTCGGTATATCGCTAAATCATTAGACAATGATCAATATCCACATTGTATGCATATGAAAAATATAAACAAGAAAGCCACAAACAGCTCCTATTTCCTTCAAATAAAAAAAAGAAACCATCATCATTATGCGGTCTAGCCAATTCTTTTGACCAAGAAGATGTGAATTAAACTTAAAAGAGTACATCATAACCCTTCGAGTACTCATACATGTACAGTAAAAATGGCTACTATCGGAACCAAAGTCCTTTCTAGATAAATCACAATTGATGGCATAATCACGATGTTGCAACAATGTAACCAGATCACATATCTAAACCGCAAGTCAAATTACTGACCGAGACTAGACAATCAAATCACACTATACATACAGCTTTAGTTTTGTTTCAGTTTCAAGAGTTAGTTTATTGAAACCCTAACTCGAAACTCAATGTCAAGGAGAAATATCCCAATTCAGCTCCCGGAATGATACAAGACAAAAATTGGTCTAATAGAGGCAGAGGAATGAATACGTGAATATAATCAGAGTATATGCATGTAGCAGCTAAGAACTCACCGGTGCAAGGCGAAAGTCGAGGTTAGGGTTAGCATTAGGAGGCCGTTCGGGGGCCGAAGCGAACAAGCCGTTTTCCTTGCAAGCCTCGTCCATAAGCTTCTTCCACGACACGTGCGTGGTCTCCTCTTGAAGGAGTTCAACTTTAAGTAATTTCCGATCACCGGCAGTCAATATCGCTGACGAGATTTTACACGACTCGCCGAAAGTTGGACCGTCATCGGTTGGGAGCTTTGGTTCGTCCTCCATTAGTGAATTGGGTCGGGTCGGGTCAGAGTTAGACTCTGTGGAGACCCGGATCGGAGAGGACGTGACTCTGGACAAGAATCAAAGGAGTGGGGAATCTTGATGAGAGGAGGAGAGATTGCAACTGAGAGGATGATTTTTGTTAGAACGTTGTGCGCGGGATAGCCAGCAATGACGCTGGCTGCTTCGTAAGCTTTTTTTTTCTCTTTTTTTTTTTTTCCTCCTCCTCGTGAACAGGTTTTAATTTATTACTATTTATTTTTCTGTCTCTAGAATTTTTTTCTTTTTCTAGTAGCAATAATATGCAGGATTCGAATGCAAATTAAATGTAAACAACCATATTTACGTTTCAAATCACTTTTTAAGAGAAAAATAGTATATTGAAAAAATGTCTTTTTTCAAAAGTGATTAATACAAAATTAAGTTTTTTTGTCTATAAAATAAATTAATAATCCTTATGCGAAAATTAGAACGAATGTAAAGAGACATTTTGAAGTGTATATATAAAAATATTAATTTCACTTAATATTGGTTTGTTAGAAGTGTATATATTAAGTGAAACTAATATTTTTATTTAGATTTTTGTTTCATAAAAGTGGATCATATATTTAGAGATGTGATTATGTTTAATTAATTATGAAGATGTCATGTGTCGTTCTTTGTTTTGTCCGTTAATTAATGAAACATCAAGTCCGAGGAGTTGTTACATCAATTATTCTAAAAAATTCGAAGAGACAGAAATTTTTTCTATCTTGCCTTAGAATTCTTGTTTCTTGCATTAATACTTGTATGTGATATAGAGAACTTGCTTGTAATCTATGAGGAAACTGCGTTGGAATAGTTCAATGCCGAGAGACGGCATTACGGTAAGACTACATCAACTCCAAACTACAAGTCTTTTTTGTTGATCATACAAAAGCTAGCCAAACAATATAATTAGTTATAGTGGTTGTACGGTTAGTTCTCATATTCCCAAGATGCATCCAAAAGACAATGATATAGCGTTGAGAGAAGTGAGTTAGTACATGGTTATGTGTAGAAGTAGGTAAACTTGACTAGTTAAATTCCCCGCATGCATCTCATATTTTTTCTCAACTCCATTGTTTTTTTTCTTTTTATCTTTAGAGATGGAATGCTCCATAGCTTATTGTCATAAATCAAAGCATTCCTTGGTTTCCATATTATCAAAACTATGAATTAGGCAATAAAAAAACAGATGATAATGTGATCCCTCCTAGCTCTTAATTTTCCCTTGGATTATGATATCACCTCCATATATACAGTAATGCAAACATCAAAATATTTTAATCAACAACTACAACACTATAAGCCTATAACCCTATAACCCTTGCAGTTTCACGCTTCTCATGGCGATACTCTTCTGCTCTCTCTTTTATTGTGATGGCGTTTTTACCTCTTCTAAAGTCGACATAGTCTTTGCCCTTTAACCTCCAACATCTAAGTCCCGCCGCAACCGCTCATTCATAATATGGACGCCTGGACGGTGCCCAACGATGACACATATGGATAAAGATGAAGTGGATGAGGTGAACAACAAGAAGAAATACTGCGACTTCGTGAATGATTATCCGCTTGGCTTCCATGTTTTTGGCTTCTAATGACAGAGATCATAGCAAGGGTTTGGTTGGTCCCATACCGTTAACAAGATTCTGATTCGGATAAATGCTTGGCTCACCATCGCACTTGTTTGCATCTTCAAAAATGAAAACACAAGTCAGTTAACCATCGTTGTCTGGAGCTTAATCCCGCTTAGCTTTCTTGGTCGCGAAAGTCTCCGCCGATGTTATGATTGCGAATGAATGAATGGGGGCTGCGTCTAATCGTAATATAATAATACAACTAGGTTTGGTAGACTAAAGTTACTTACATGAAATTTAATTCTGATATACACTTACAATATATATTTCTTTTTTTTTGTAATGATTTGTTGAAGACTAGCGAGAATCTTATAGGAACGAACGACTAATCAAAGTAATCATAGACTTTAAGAAGCTAATTAAAAAAAAAAAAAGCAAATAAAAATATCACACAATGTTTTGGTCTTTATGGACCACCATTGGGACCATTGTGATTGAACACGGGTCACTCCCAATAGATCTGAATATCTTGGAGATAAATTGGCAAGACATTTTTAGAAAAGCTGGTGTGAATTTTCTCTATAAAAAAATTATACTTTTATTTATTTTTTTTTTTTTTTTTGGGTGGGAATACTTTTATTTTTTTTTGACATATGTTTGGGTAAGTAAGAATGAAAAAACCTATGACTTTACCAAAAAAATAGTAAGTTTTTTTGTTTGTCAACAATTTTTTTTTAATTTTTTTAAATGTTTGGTCGTCAATTAAATTTTCATCGTAATCATTGATATTAAAAATATAGTAAGACCAAAAGGCCCCAATAACAAAAAGACCCCGAGTCCAAATCAAATTAGCAACAACAAAAAAAAAAAAATTGGGAATAACGAAATATCGTTTGGGGATTTTACATTTATTTTACTGAAAAAGAGAAAAGAGAGAGAGAAAAAAAAAGATCGGTATCTCAAAAAACTGACCGCCTCGCGTTGTCTCTTCCCTACTTCCTCCGATTCCTTCTCCTCTCTCTTTCTCTATCTGCTATCGTAATCGTCTCCGCCTCTCTAGGGTTTTCTCCGTTTCTCGTGCTTCAATCTTTTGTTCGTTGGCATTCGCTTAATCGCTTCTGATTCATGAGGTTAGGGTTTCGTTTTTTTTTTTTTTGGCTTTTGTTATTTTCAGGAGGTGACAGATTTTATTTTATTTTATATAGTCTCTGTTGCGGCGTGTTTAAAATCATAGGAGATCGGAGGGTTTTTGTAGTTGTCGTCATCAATGTTGATGATTGAGCCATCCATTGTCTTGGGTTAGGTCTTTGGGTTGACCTTCTCTAGTTTTTTTTTTTTTTTTCTTTTTTTTTTTGGGGTCTCCTCTCTGTCTGATTGATTTCTGGATCATGTTAACACGGGACTGGGTTTTATTGAGAATCTGTTAAGGGTCCTTGAATCGTTGCATGTTTTGATTTACTAAATAGCTTACCACAACGGATTTTTCATAAAAACCCTCTCTTTTCGTTTTTTTTGGCTTTGAATCAGGTGGCATTACAATGGATTGCAAGGAAAACGGTATTCGTAACGCTTCTGCGTGCGATATTGATGCTAACTCCCTGGCCTCAAATCTTGCGATGGACATCAATGAAGATTTCTATGAGAAACTGAGTTCTTGTGGGCACAATATAGATTCAGTCAGTAGTTTGGAGACTCCTCAGGTTGCTTCAGTTGGAAAACATACGATAGAGGGCCAAGGGAAGTGCTTTATAGAGATTGAGCAGATGGGAGACGGGAACAGTAATAGTGAAGAAGATGCTGGAAACACTGATGATGGTCTATATGTTTGTTACAACGCTGATGACACTCGGAAGCAGGGAGTGGTTTCAGGTGGGCTTGAACAAACTCACGAAGTAATTTGTGATGCTGATTTACTGGTAAATTGCAACAAGCTGGATGATGGAAAGGAAAGTCAGGACACAAATCTGTCCCTTGTATCCATCGTTTCTGGGAGTATGCAAGAGAAAGGAGCTCCTCAGGCTAAAGAAGATGAAGATTGTGGTGGCACAACATTGCCTATAGGGGGCAATGGAATAGATAATGAATCAACTTTTGTGAATGATGCACCAGAACAATTCAAGTCTTTGGAAACCACAAAGCAGAGAAAACCTGATGAAGTTGATAGTGGTGGTATTAGTTATACGTTTGATGATGGAGGTAAGGAAGGGAAAAATGAACCATCGAGTGATCAAGATAATGGTTCTTCTGATGATATATCTCTCATTCAGAGTTTTTCGTTTCCAGATTCGCTATTGGACTCTAGTGTATTTGGCTGCAGCGCCACAGAAAATTATTTGGAGGATGCAAGTGCTATTGAAGGCAATGTGCCTATTGTGGTATCCCCTTCATTAGCTATCACAGAAATGTTAAATAATCATGACGGTGGCCTATGTTCATATGATCTTAACGATATCACAGTCACAGAGACAATCAATCCAGAGTTGAAGTTGGTACATGAGGATGAGCTTGACACTGATCTTTCCGAGAAGAATGAAAAGATGCTAAAAAACCTTGTTGGGGATTCATCAAGTGAAAGTGCCGTGGCCGCTTTAAGTATGAATAATGGTATGGCTGCTGATCTGAGAGCTGAAAATTTCAGTCAGATTTCACCCATAGACGACAAATCTTTTTGTATGGAAGCCAATTCCCCTATTACTGACTCTTCTTTGATATGGAATTTTCCATTGAACTTTGGAAATGGAGGCAACGAAGTCTGTAATCCTGACAATGCAGTTGAGCCACTCAGAATAATAGACGACAATGGCAGAATAGGTGGTGAAGTTGCTTCTGCATCAGGGACTAATTTTTGTGAAACTGGCTTGTCTTCTTCCCGAAGGAAGACCCGAGATGGTAAACAATGTAAAGTGGCGCAGACAAAAATGAGTGCTCGCCATCCAAGAAAATCCACTAGAAAGAAACAATCAGAAAGAAACCTTGAATCTATTTTCAAGTGTTCAAAACAGAAAAGGAGCTCTCTTTTAAAAACAAGCCGTTCATTTGAGTGGGGATTACCAAGCAAGACCACTGAAATCTTCTTACAGAGCAAAAATATTCCCTATGATGGACCTCCGCATCATGAACCACAGAGACCTCAGGGCAATCTTAATAATGGACAGCATAATAGGAGTTCTCATAACGGATATGTTGAAGGAGCTAACAGAAACATCCAAGCATCAAGTGGCTCTTGCCTTCGTTTGAAAGTTAAATTTGGTAAATCAGGTGGCCAAAATCCTTTGAACATTACAGTCTCTAAGGTCAGTGGTAACTCTTTGCCTGCTAATGGTATTGTTAAAGCAGGAACATGTTTAGAATTGCTAGGATCAGCAAATTTTGCTGAGGATAAACCGCAAACTGTGGAAACAAGAGAGGACTTGGTAGAGAAAAGCAACCCTGTGGAGAAAGTTTCATATCTGCAGTCATCTGATTCTATGAGGGATAAGAAAAATAATCAAGACGCTGCGGGTTTATGTAGGAAGCTGGGTGGTGATGTTTTAGATGATGACCCACATCTTTCCTCTATTATAATGGTTGAAGAGTGCGAGAGGGCCACTGGAACACGGTCCCTGGACGCTGAAACT